CAGACCTAAAACATGAACGTCGACGAAACAGCACCTGCTTATACATCCAATTTAATTCTGTACTTACAAAACAAAGCACACTTTCCAATATGTCAACGTGCGAGTTTCAGGTCTGTTGCATGCTATGAACGAACACATTCGAGTTAACAATAAGGTTCAGGCTTCTGATAGCCACAGCGAAGACACAGAGACGGTTAGCCACGCACTCACTATACATATATCGCGTACAAACACTGCAAAAATGCACATTCGTTAAATGCGACGCTGTTCACTGATATGATTTTGTAAAATAAACACATTCACACACACAGTCAAATTCGGGACAAAAAATACCTAGTCTCACGAAATTTCTAACTGCATCTCACAGAGCTAATAAATCAAAGATGCAATAGGTCAGACATGTAGCTCAAACAGGGAAACAGAAGCCATATACAATATGGGCTAGAAATTTTTAAGGAAAAAGACACCACCTATGAAAAGCTTTAAAAGGAAAATAACACTAAAACAAATAAACAGATATGTAACAAGTGAACTGAACTAGCCACAACAGGAACAATAAACCATTATGATTGACAAAATCTGTGAATTTCAACAACTTGTTCAAGGAATTTCTATCAATTGCTCGCTGAATATAGTACAAGTTGAGAAACGGACCACAGGCAGCAAATCAGCTGCTGTACTGTTCATTTTCTTAAGATTTAAGCACGCATAAAACAGTAATGACCATCTTCAACATGTCCCATGTACTATGCACTTAAAAAAGTCCTTGGAACCACAAAATTACTCACTCATAATGCACATCCACTTTAATGAAGACTTTAAGGTACACACAAAGATGGGGTCGCAACCAACCATCCAAATAAGCATTCCTGTTATTTTTCTGCTTACAAACTTAACTTCATGGAAGCCAAGAAGAAAATCAAATGATCACAACTCATTCCCAGTAAAATATTGACTACAAAAAATAATCCATATACCAATGAAGTGGAAAACACACAGGCTACAACCTCTACAAATTAAAAAATTATCATAGAAATAAAGTACAACATTTGGGCTATCTGAATTTTGTTCTCAAAGGTGTCTTATTCACACATCCTATAACTTTTACAACTGAAGTCTTACAATTATAAAAAATGTCAACATAAATAGTATTTAAAAGAAAAGGTCTACAAAATTCTATATTTCAAAAAAATGCATAAACTTTCCCCTACAAGTTATATTATACACATCTTTTTAGTCTACCAGTTCCATACAACTGCAGTCTAAATGGAACCATAGTGAGTTCACATCAGCCCTCAGTTACAAACATTTATCAAATTCTAGACAAGCTCATGGATGATGTAGGGCATAATAATATAAATATTGTAGCAATCAGTTAAGCATTATTCTTAATAAACGTTAAAGTAAAGTGCCGAGGTCAAGGAAGAGAGGAGCTATACCTCCACTCACCCCAAACGCCTACATGGCATATAGTGGGACAAACTTTACTTTTAAAGTAAATGTTATTACATTTTTGTGGCCAACATAAGAAAGCTTACATTACACAAGAAAATCAGAAAGAACTTGGAAACAATGAACTATTTAATGTAAATAGGTGACCAATTTATCAAACCTCTGAACAACAAACTCCCTAATTCAAAACATAGAACAAATATGAACTTTTTAAACATGGCTTATCATTCACTACAAGGGCAGTATGGTGGAATTACTTAACATAAACCATGGAATATGAAACAAAAGCATTCTATCCAAAATAAAAATATTCAATACTAAAAAGCAAGTTCCTTATTACACCGCAAGTACACAGAACCAATCATATGCATTGGCATTATTAGGTTAATGTTAAAAATGCCAACCAACGGCCTACAAAGCAGTTAGCACACAATCTAATACTCTATGTGGCACATCTACCGCAGCCAGTAAAAACATAATACACATGAACAAAAATGCCTAACAATCCTCAACATTTAGAGCCAATACACTTTTTAAAACATCATTTATAAAACATCTCAAAACATTTCATTCAAAATCTAATCTCAATCAACCCACAGGAGTTAATTAAATGTAAGGCTTAAAAAATAAATACCTCTGTCAGATTAAAATCCAGGGCAACAGTTCAGGTGAACCGAGATTAATAAAACGAGATTAATTAAATGTGCTATAACTTAATGTCATTCAAGACATAAAAATTTCAAGATTGCATACCTTCCATCTTACAAATTCTATTTAATTGTGTTAGGTACTGTAGGAAAATGAAACTTAACAGACACAGATGCTTTATATGGACTACAAAAAATGTGCTGTTAAATACACCTTCTACATGGCTGCGAAATAAACCACGTTATCGTTGAAGGTCAAATGCTATACTGACCAATCTAAATATAAAATTACAAAATATAAACTTTTCGAACATGCTGCATATACGCCCATTACAAAGAATAAATGACAATTTAAGCATAAAGGATACGCTCGAAGAAATAAAAACTTTATAAATTCCATGATCATCAGAATACTTTTACGGCAAATAAAATTACACATTATCACGAAGGCAACACAAAAATGCATTTAAACGATTGTCTAGAGCAATCCTCCTACACGAACAAGCTATGAGAGGACGCGTCTAGGGTCCAGTCTACCGACGAAGACATAGGAAAGCCGGCGGGCAAAACATGGTTCGCATTTTAAACCAGCCACTTCCTTACAGCTCGAAACGACCAGTGGCCAAGCGTAAACGCCGACTCTTTTGCGTAAACATCCTACTTCTTTGCGAGTTCTACTATTTAATGGTAGGGCCACATTATATGTTTCATAACCATATGAGGAAATGGGTCACCCGGCAAGTTTCTCTTGAAGGTATTGATCCAGAATTACTGCTCTTACCTCGTAACTTGACAGAAACAAAGACTGGCCACGCTGCTTTGTAGTTCCAACGTCTGGTTTTGCCTACAAAACTTTTAGTCACTGTACTTCCACGCCCACACTTAATAAACAGTCCACGAACACAAATATTTTAAACTTCAAGGTTCTGATTTCACTAACAATATAATTTCAGTTTCAAACACATTAAATTGAAATGAAAATACACCAAACGCGAGGGAACAAATCACTCTCCCCACTTCACGAAAATGGTTTCCAATCTCGCAAATTCTCGTCCAAAGATCAACAAACGAGACTTCACGAGATCCCAACCCTACCACTTTGGCTGTATATTGTCTATGACTGCCACAGCTTGGAAAATGATTATTTCAACATGAAACAACTCTTGCGACATCTAAACATAGAAGTTAGGAACTAGATTTGACTCGATTTGCATCAAACCATTCGTGTTTTCTATCCAGGTCGTAGGCCGTAATTTTCCGAGCGATTATACGAAGTGCCATCTCTAATTCATGGTTAGAAGTATAGAGATATAAAGTGCCCATATATATCTAAATTATTTTCAATCATTGAGTCACCTGAATTATGGATTGTCGGACTTGAAGAGTTTTTTGATAAATATTGTAAGGCTTTATTCATTGACGTTTCAAAGTGTGGTGGATATTGCTGTAATTAATTACTTTAAAACACCAAAATACCGAACGAGAATGGCAGATGTCAGGTCACTAGAGTACCCAACCTTAAAGGTACTAAATATTATATTGCATATAGGTATATTATGCTTAATCGTACAAAATTAAGCATTGGATCACATTAATTTTTCGTAATAATTTTATTGACCTCAGAGATGTACACCACCCTACGGACGTGTCATAAATGTGTGACTATATTCCCTTAATGTTTAAATAGGTTTTTATAACCTGTTAAGTAACTGCCAAGAAAATATTAATAATTTAACCCAGAATTAGATTCTGTAATGTTATATGACACATGGCATGGTTGATATCTCAATAGGTTCCATATGAGTTATTGAACAAGAAGTTCAGAGCAGCCCAAAAACATGTTGACAGGGAAGTCTCCCATGTGCAAGCTGCTGCACTGGAACTAGAACGTGTTCTCCATGGAGACATAGTGGGAGCAAGTGATATTAGCCGTTTACTGGGTGGAATGGTTGAGAAACTGCAAGTTCTTAAACGCAAGGTATGTACAGGCTGTTGACGGGGTAATGCCTCCACATTGTTCTTCACACTCCCATCCTTTATATACCTCCAACATCTGCTGGGCCACCCACCAGCGTGCTTGTTCATGCTCCTTTCTTGCCATCGTACAAACTTCCACCTTACATGAAAATTATATGGACTACAAGCATGGATCAAGAAGATTAACACAATTTTCAGCATTTTTAATATGGAAGTATGATTCCAGAACCTAATTAACTCTGAAGGACTGTGCACAGTTACAGTGACTTGGATGTATATGGTACTTAAGTGGAGTCCTGAGAAAGCGGAACTAGTGGGCCATGGGAAGAGAAACCACACCCATTTTTTCAGTTTCTTATTTCCTTGTTAATGGCTGTAGTAGTTTTATTTTGTTCTGTTCAGACAACACTAATGGGCTTCTTGACCCAGGAAGTACTATATGACACCCAGGAGATTGAATTTGTTTTTCAATATGTATCCTACAGTATATGAGAATGTAACAGTTTTAATTTGATTTACATGATAAATGTGAGGTAACTGTAGCATCTAACTCCATGATCTAGGGACTTCCTTGAACAGTTAATCCTGAGGGTTCATTACCATGTTTATAGAGTCTGCCATTGGGACCTACCCTCAGACAACTCAGTTCAGTTTACATACTCACAAATAATTTTTCTAAGATTCATTCCCATTTATGCTGCAGTTCCCCAAGTGGTCTCTTCCCATCATGTTCTTCAGCTAAGATGTTATATGCATTTTTTGTTTCTCCCATATGTGTTACATGCCCTGAATATAAGTACCCAACAATGTTTCTCCCATATGTGTTACATGCCCTAAATATATCTTTCTGTATGTAAGTACCCAACAGTATTTGATGAAATGTACCATTTGTGAAGCTTAATCTTATTATATTTTAAGAATGTCTCCTAAGAATAATAGAGTCCTATATTTCTTTAGCTAAAAAGCACTGTTTCCAATTTACCTATTTCAGTATTATTTTTCTTGTTGCAGATTTTACACTACCTTTAAACTGTTCTGATTTAAGGCTGATGAGAGTATCTCAGAGGAACTGGAGGCAGCATACGTATGCAAGAGACGCCTTGAGCACTTGCGGGAACATGCTGCTTCTAATGGGCCAGTTACCAGTAGTTCTACCACAGGAACAGTGAATCTCTGGCGAAAGCGTCGACTGGATCGCATGTTGGTGGAATACTTTCTGCGCCGAGGTTACTATGGGGCAGCTACACGCCTTGCCCATCGTTCAGACCTCCGAGACCTCACAAATATTGGTATAGATGACTTCCTGCTGGTGAATTTATAAGTATCATGAAACCAATTATAACACTGTTACGATTACAGTATGCTTCATACAGATACTTTTAACCATTCTCCATTATCTTACCTGTGGTGAATGGGTAAGCATATTTCTGGAGCCACAGCTACAGTGGTAATATATCAGTGTTAGATTTAGGTGACCAAGTATCCTGACTCAGGTTTCTCATAGTTTTCCTCAGTCTTTCTATGTAACCATCAGGATAGGCCAAGATCACCTCTTCCCACATCCTTACTCTGAACTCGCTATTTGCAATCCTTTCTTATTAAAAATATGATATGTACAGTTAACATAAAATGCGCAGTTAAGAACACACTCTTAAATCAACTAAGAAGCATACATCCATTACATTTGCATTATGTGGTTTGTTGCAGATGTATTCCTGATCTCCCGTGAGGTTGAGCAATCGCTTGCACAACATGAGACCTCCAAATGCCTTGAATGGTGCTATGATAATCGCTCAAAGCTGCGTAAGCTGAAGTCCACAATGGAATTCAATTTGCGAATTCAAGAATTTGTTGAGCTGGTGAAAGCAGATAAACGTATGGATGCTGTCAGGTTTGTAAGTCCCTTTTAATTTCCTCTCTGTCCTTTTCATTTTCAGTCATGTCAACATTAACAAAAACCACCATCTAACTCCAGACTCCACCATAGCATCATCTCCATTTGTCACTACCAGAGTCAGCACTGTCAACTTAATTTTAATTTTCTCATACAGTCAAGCATGACAGACATTGGTTGTTATATTAGTGAATTTCTTTGTGAATAAGGTTCTGTAAGATTTTTTTTTTAAAAAAGGCCGAAACAGTTCTGTGCAGGTTTAAGCAAATGTTTTATAGATTTAGGCAGCATAGCAAGGTAGCGGCTTGGATCTATGGAGCCGAAGCTCTGAAAAAGAAGATATTAATGAATGATTTTCTGCTAATGTCTGTTACGTTTTACAGGCATGCTAGAAAGTATTTCACCATCTTTGAAGATGAACAGCTGCAAGATGTGCAGCACTGTATGGCTCTGCTAGCTTTTCCGACAAATACAGGTATCTCTTAATTTTTCGTTATCTTAATCAGAGAAAGTTATTACGACATTACTAAGGACTTCGCTGACAAAGCTGTGAATAGGCATTTATTTTATAGTTAGTATGTTCACTTCTTGTCAAGTAGACCAAATTTCAAGACTTCATTACGTAAGTGTGCATTGTTGGATATATTTTAATGGTTACGCTACCCATTGTAGCTCCCCAATTTCCTCACGATGCTGGGTTGGCACCGGTCCCATACACCGGTCGAAAATCTCGTGAGAAATTTCTTTCCCCGAGACTCGAACCAGCGCGCATTCCGTATCACCGGTCCGAAGCATGATGCCTCAGACCGCGCGGCTACAGTAATCAGTATTATGGTGTCAACGGTTAAAATAATAAATGAATCTGATCAGTGTATAAAAACAGTGAAGTATGCTCATGTAAATGTTCTGAAAAAGGTTAACATAGATAATCACCTTTACTTTATCTGATTTCTCTCATAGAACTGTCACCATACAAGGAACTCCTAGATGGGAGCCGCTGGGAACGTCTGATTGAACAGTTTCGTCAAGATAATTATCGCCTGTTCCAACTTGCCTCTCAGTCTGTCTTCACTGTTGCTCTCCAGGCTGGCCTTTCAGCTTTGAAAACACCATATCCTTTATCACACAAATGAGATGCTGGTTTGCAGCCGATACTTGTTATTACTGTCAGCTGGTGGAGTAGTTAGAACTCAGCGTGTAATCGGTTGGCAGTTACATCCTAAGACAAAGGAATGAAAACTGCTGACCAGATATTATTATATGTTAATTACTTATGATTTAATGATGCTATATGCTCAAATTTTATGGCATCTAATGTTAGGATGATTAGTAAATAATGATTTGAAAAGGATGTGGAAGAATGCAGTTATGGCCTAATTTGAGGTTGTCCCATTTGCCTGGATGAACTGAGGAAATATTCAAACAGCGTTAGTCTTGATGGGTAGTCTCTAGGCCAAGAATTAAACTGAGGCCTTCACAAATACAAATTCTGAACTACTCAGCTGCAATTTTTGATGGTGTTACTACAGTCCGTTCATCACCAATACATTATTACTCGAGTTAATAATTCTTATAACTAAAAACAAGAACTTAACGACTCCTAGTTTTCAGTCTGTATAAGGAAAGTACTATAAATTAATAATTATACAATTTATTAATTCATTGTGTTGTATAATTCCCATTCGGACACATTCCACTACATTAAATTCTACAATGTAATTTCATTTTACATTCTCTCATTGCATCTATATTTGTAAACATATAAAAGTGTACATGCTTATGACTTATACCATTCTAAATTTTATGTTAAACAGAGATTGCAGAGCTGCCATGCTGTTTTATATGCCACAGAAAATAAGACTTATTTTTAAAATATCATGTGATAATAGTTCATAATAGCCACGGTGGTCTAGTGGTTAGAATGCTGGCCTTGTAATCCTGGGGTCTCTGGTTCGATTCCCGGCGGTGCCCGAATTTATAACTTGTGTTGGGCAAGGCCGTGGTCTAGGCAACACGGAGTTTTCCTCCGTGGCATCCCAACAATTACTCCATTCACACACAGAAGAAGGCAATGGCAAACCACTCCTGGATCATCGGCCAAGAACGTATATGAACAGGTCCCAATCCGAGAAAAGGATGGAAGGATCCTGCTCATATGGACCTGTCCTCAGACAGAACACTAAATAATAATAAAAACAGACTCATGATATACAGGAATCATTTAAGGAAAGTAAAATACATGCAACATAAATTGTCAAATAAGATTTACACAACTTAATAAATTGTCAATAAAAATAATAAAACTTAAGAAATTTTGCTAAGTGTTCAAAGAAATAAATGTTTATATGTAGTATATTTAAAATGTGTTAGAGTGGTACTACAGTTACAGTATTTTTATATTATGTTAAGTCTTATATGTGACCACATTTTTATTAAAACTTGTTGAAACAGTAACACGTCAACAACTGATATAAGAACTTCTTGAGTTCGGATGAAAATTGTATCTCTTATTGTTAAAACGGAACCATTTTCACATTTGAAACACGGAGACTAGCAGGAATCGATCCTTAACAACATAAGTCCTACACACTTTGCGATTAGGCGCAGCGTGACTTGGACAAATTGCCCAGAATTTTGTGTGTGTGCGATGTTACTGTTAGAAGGAAGAGTGCCGCCAGTAGCCCACCTGCTGCAATATGAGCGCCTGAATTTAATATGCGCCCACATCCATCTTCCTTCACATCTAATGTTTGGACCAGAGCGCCTATGAAACGGGATTAGTGCTTCATAATCATCTGTCAAGGTTCAGTATGGATCCTCTGTCACTGTTCCACTGAACCTGCAAAACGAAATTCTCACTTTACCAAACTGATCTTAATATGGTCTCCCTTGTTCTGTATTCCATTTGTGGTTCCTTTATTTGCATGTCATAAATGATTTTACTCATACAACCATCTTCTTGTGGACTTAGAGAAAGGAGTATAAATGTGGAAAATACGTACGAAGAGACACTCCATAATTTGTAAAATATTATTAGAGTCGTAAATTCAAGGATAATACGATGGGAGGAGAATGTATATTTGTGACAGGTAGGATATACGTACATATAACATTTTATACGGGAAATCTCAACAGGGAATAGTTGTAACTTGGGCTAAATGGTAGGGTAATATTAAAATGGATGTTAAATTAATGTGTTGCTGTAATATTTAAATGTTGATGAAGGAAATTAAGACATTTCGCCTATAGCAGACACTTAAAAGTAACAAAGATATGCCAGTATATTGATAAATGTAACTTCTGTATCATAATATGAAAACTGTTATGTCGATACCATTTGTTTATACGTCTATTGTATTTTATCTAATCTACCATTTTCCAATAAATTAAGGAACAAAATTCATACAATTATAACTCGGCCCATTATTTTGTACTACACCGATGTTAAACTTCTTCTGTCGCCCTAATAGTGAAAGTTTTAGCTGTTTGAAAACAAAGTGTGGAGGAAAATATTTTGACATGAGGATGATGGGAGAAACAGGGGGAATTCACAGGCTACTTAGTTATTAACTTTGGTTTTTGGCTGTCCTTCGACCTAACTGCTAGCAGCTGCAATTTTTACATAAAAACAATAGAAGATTAAAGTGGGCTGGGTTGTGCGAAATATCGGAATGTGGTGGTTCCTCAAGCAAGAAATGGTTCCAGGCTGCTGCTGGTGATATCGTGAATTTCATTTTCAACTTACATTATACAATCGCTCTTAACTGCACACTTCCCATGCGGAGTGCAAAGCTACTAAGCCGTTATCGTAGAAGCTATCTGGGTATATTTACTTTCTCCAATCTAAAATCGGAATAATAATAACATGGTGCCGGAATTTATAACTTGTGTTGGGCAAGATCGTGGTCTAGGCAACACGGGGTTTTCCTCCGTGGCGTCCCAACAATTACTCCATTCACACACAGACGAAGGCAATGGCAAACCACTTCTGGATCATCTGCCAAGAACGTATATGAACAGGTCCCAGTCCGAGAAAAGGATGGAAGGATCCTGTTCATATGGACCTGTCGTCAGACAGAACACTAAATAAAATAAAATACTGCATTCCATATAAAATGCAGAAAATAATATAAAAATTAAATAAATGTCCATCTACAGTAGTTGTCCTTAAAGGGTTATAATTATGTATACAGAAGCACAAGCTACATATGAAGATTCATTAAGTTAAGAAGATTATTTTAAGTGTTGTCAACACCATGTATAATGATAAAAATTGTTTTTTCCTTTTCACAAATTCTGTTCTTGAGGTAGAGCAATTGTGTGACCTACTCCTTAACAGTTTTCACTCAGTGCTACAGCAATTCTCGCGACAGCCGAAACCCAAGCTGCCCAGTGTGCCAGGACTCCTTCAATGAACTTGCACAGCCACTACCTTTTGCTCACTGTTCACAGTCAAGGTTGGTGTGCACTATCTCTGGCCTTCCTCTCAATGAACATAATCTACCCATGATGCTGCCTAATGGATATGTGTATGGGGAAAAGGTAAGCTTTGACATACGAGAATTTAAAAGGTATTGAGTATGTATACTTTCCTATGTAAGTTTTGAGGTTTTCACAGCGGTGAGTATGAAGATTTCTGTCTTCTGGGTTGTTGCGCCGTGTAGTATTGTAGATGTTTACCAACGTTTCCGAGGTCATACTGCCTCCGTCGATTCATCATCCTGATGACGGGGGCAGTATGACCTCAGAAACGTTGGTAAACATCTACCAGACTACACAGCGCAACAACCCAGAAGACAGAAATATTCATACTCTGATGACGGAGGCAGTATGACCTCTGAAACGTTGGTAAACATCTACCAGACTACACGGCACAACAACCCAGAAGACAGAAATCTTGATACTCATCGCCCTGATGATGGAGGCAGTATGACCTCTGAAACGTTGGTAAACATCTACCAGACTACACGGCACAACAACCCAGAAGACAGAAATCTTGATACTTTTCTATTTTGCATATATCATTGGTCTTGATGTTCATTTATTTCTGATACATTTGTTCAGAGCTAATTGGACTGTAGATTTCACACTGCAAATAGTTAGAAACTATTTTCCCTTGTGTTTAATAAAATATTTAAGTATATGTCAAATAAAAATCGTTGATCAAACTGGCACCTATATTTGTGTCCTATACCACCTTTTTACAGTAAACCAGTTTTGAGAAAATCAGTAGTCTGATTTGAACTATGTGAAAAGCAGGAATTATATTGGATGGATATGAACAAAAATTAACTTTTTGGAACAGCATTTAGGGTAGGTTCCCCAGTAAAAAAATTAATCAAAATCTGCTCACTAGTTTCATAATGTGTCTGATGTCCTCACTTCAGATTTGATCCCTTCATGTTTCTTAATATTCAATATACACTTCACATCTACATCTCTCTAATACATTTACATTTATATTCCATATTTCAAAATGGGGAAGTAATATGATTTGAGTTCTAATATAAGTTGTTTCTTTCAGGCATTGGAGCAAATGGCAAATGAAAATAATAGTCAAATCATATGCCCCAAAACAAAGGAGGTCTATCCATTCAAGAAACTTGAGAAGGTGTTTGTAATGTAAATATCACACAAGGTTACTGATGATACAGAGTTCTGTTATGACAGTGCAATATTCTTCTGTGCTGTCTTCTTTAATTGTGAATATATTTTTGCCACGTTCATGTATATCGAGTATTTAACTCCTGCTACAATTGAAATTGACTTGTTGCCATTAATAATAAATATTATAAAAATGGCTTAGTTTAAGTGTTAGATGCATTGTATCATGCTTAGATAATATATTATTTAGATGATGTATATTATTAACAATTACTGCATGTCCAAAAACTTTTGAGGAAATATATTTTGATAAAGTACAATGAGATGGTACTTTTCTGTTTTACAAAACACAATAAAACCTGAAAAACAAAAGCCTATATTTAACACATACTTATCTGGAATGGAAATATAATCAAGGCCTTTGGAATTCTGTTACAAGCAGGAGACTTGGAGACATTTTTTCTTCAGTTTGACACATTTGTCGCCTGGGCTGATAATTATGCTGGTCTTGTATCCCATTATAACTAAAATTACCTTGAGCTTAATTTAGTCATAACTAACCTAATCAAGCAATCTTTCTTAAAATGATTATAGTCACTCAAGTAGTCAAGAAATTCCCACATTTTATATAAACCAGTGGTTCAATGCCATATCCACAAGAGCCTACCATTGAACCCCATCCAGTGTAAACACTCATACCCTATCCCCTTCAGCTCTATTGCAATATTATCCTCCCATCCATGGCTAGGTCTCCAAAGTAGTCTCTTCCCTGCAGGTATTATCAGAATTCTGTATGTGTTTCTCATCTCTCCCATGCACATTACATTCCCTACCAATCTCATCCTCCTAGATGTGATTGCCTTAATAATGAAATTAGAAGGCTGCACTCTTTGGAGTACAGGCATACCTCGGAGATATTGCGGGTTTGATTCCAGACCACTGCAATAAAGCGAGTCACACGGATGTTTTGATTTCCCAGTGCATATAAAAGTTATGTTTACACTATACTGTAGTATATTAAGTGTGCAATAGCATTATGTGTAAAAAAAGCAATGCGAGAATTACCAAAGTGTGACACAGACACGAAGTGTGCACATGCTGTTGGAAAAATAGCGCCGATAGACTTGCTCGGCGCAAGGTTGCCACAAACCTTTAATTTGTAAAAAACCGCAATATCTGCGAAGCGCAATAAAACAAGGTATGCCTGTATAAAAGTTCTGATGTCATTGTTGAAATAATCAGAAACAACAAGTACCTCTGAAATGTCAGTAAACTTTACCAGACTACACAATGCAACATCCCAGAAGACAGCCACTGACATACTCACTGCCATCAGAACCTGAAATCTCAATAACAACCAAGATCAGTGATGAATGGTATGACACACAGACATGGATTGGCCCATAAGGTGTTCTTTGTTTATGCCAAAGCATAAAGAACACCTAATAATTAGTGAAGAACACAAATTACAAAGCTCTTCATTATCCAGTTTTCTCCATCCTCTCTCTTAAATTCAAATATTCTCTTCAGCACCAGTCTCAAGCACACTGTCTTTGTTCTCTCCTTAATGTGAGAGTGTTTCACACCTTTAGAAAACAGTATGTAACGAAGTTTTGTACATTTCAGTAATTATGTGGTTGGAGAGGAGATGGAAAGACAGAAGATCATGACATTAACATAAGCTGAAATGCATTTCACTATAAAATAAATGACAGAATTATGTTACAATCTTTGTATAGGCTACTATAGAAGAAATAAGAACATGTTGAAAGAATGAAATCTGATAGGAACCCCCAAGAAGTTACAAAATACAAATGTCCTTATGCAAATCTCTAAAAGAAATGTTATGCTTTGTAAAACACATAAGAGGCCAAGTTAGCCTAACAATGATGATGATGACCATGTACCTGGGGGGACATCCCTGAGTGGAGAGGAAGCAAATGTAGCAGATGTTTCACTGTATCTCAGAGTACTCGGGAATATTTCTTCATAGGTTGTCTTTCTCAAGTGCATAGGTCAGCATTTCAAATTTATTATTCTTTCCTAAATGAAAGCAAACTAAAATCATTTAAAACATCTAGACAGACATTAGGATCAGCCTCTGACCACCTAAACACAACATGAAGAGAGTGAATAAGTCATCAAATTAGTGTCATCTTAATTTATTAACAAAAAGACACTCCAAAGAAATAATATTGTCATACTGTATTAAACATGCATATTCATTCTAGATACCATACTTCATATATATTTTTATTTAATATTAAGTGAACTATTTCAGTTTACCTGAATAATTGCTCAGGTATAGCAAAACTCTCTTACTGTAACTTATAATTTAAGTGTGAAAATAATTTTTACCATATTCCCCATAACTGCATGAAATTGCCTTTCCAGCCTTGTTTCCTATTAGACCTGAAACCCACACTTGTTAAGAAACCACCTTATGAGGTAAATGGTAAGCTATATTATTAATGCTATCTTATCAACCCAGGAATTTTATTGGATGTGTTGTCTACATCCATTTCATTATATAGCTTACAAATGCACATTTGATATCCAAACATATGTTTAACTTGCACACACTTACTTCTGACTGCTACCGTAATTCATTGCCTTTCCATACTCAGTTGTATATCACATTATTCAATAAAATTAACATAATTTAAGGATAAAATTCTATTATTATGTTGATGCTGATTTATTTAATTTGGATGAATTAGAAAGAACATGGGAGTGGCCTATTTTAAGATACTGTCCCAGCATTCATATAAAATGACTGAAGACACCCATGAAACCCATCATGATAGCAAGTTATCCGGCTAAGATTTGAACCATGGACCTCCCAAATGGGAAGGAGTACTAACCATGCAACAATAGCATTATGTCCCTGGCTCTCACAGAACCCAATGGTTAATCACCATGTTCATAAAAGTTCACAAAGAACCATATCCTAAGAAAGTTCA